ATGTGAATCTCCTCAGTCCATATATGTAATTTAAAAGATACCACTATTACTAAACCTTTTAAATCTCCTTTCCACATGGACCAACCAGATTGGCCCTTTGACTCTTTCCTTTCCATGTGGTGTTTCCAGTAATTTAAACACCAAATAACTTCTCTGAAACTTTTCCACAGGGTGGACTTTGGAGTCTGACAAGCTGGTTTTATTTCCTAGTCCCCTGCTTAGTAGTTAAGAAACCTCAGTTTCTTCATCTGTAAAAACTCTGACAAGCTAGGTGGCTGTGAGGTCAAAGGCGATGATGCATAGGAAGCATTCAGCCCTGTGTTCCGCACACATCACTTCCCCTTAGTCAGCCTTCCACCTTTCTTTCCGTAACACTGGTTCACACACCTCTCTCCTTTTCCTGTCTGTAGTCACCCTGTGTCCTTGTGTGCTTTAGCCCATCATGGTCATTCTCTTCCATAACAGGTCCTTCTGTCTTAGCAGTAGATAGTAAATCTGAGGAGACCCAGGGACTTACCTGATCTTGCTTCATGGAACTGCCTACAGGATAGATCAGCTCCTGATCTCTCTCTCGAGCCAGAGCATCCACAGGAACCACAGCCTCTGGGATTGCCCCTGGCCTGCAGTGCCTGCTCTAAGCATGGGGCCAGGCAGGCAGCCAAGTCCATCCTCAGGAACAGCAGCCAGGGCTGGCACTGTGAGTGGGGAGGGGAGGCTGGGGCTGATATGCAGAGAGAGAGGTGGATAGGATCATTTGGAGCCGAGATTGAAGGAGAAAAGCTGGAGGCAGATTGTGGTCCAGCGTAAACTGAGCAAAATTAATGGCATCGATCTTTCAGGTAAACCACAAAATTATAATTGTGCTAGAAGTAGATTTCCAGGTGTGTGTGTGTGTGTGTGTGTATATGTTTGTTTTTTCTTTATTTTTCTTCTTGCCTTTCCTTTCTCTGTGCCCCTCCTAGTCCCTGGCTCTGCTCTGTTCAACTCATTTTGCCTCTTAGCTGAAACAGGACAGCAGAGTCACTGCGAGAACAGGTTGCTGCTATGGGTACCTGGGGAGTCCTGCTTACCTGAGCTGCCTGCACCCCCGTAAGAGCTGTAGTGGCCACTGCAAAGAAGACTGTTTTAGGAGCAGGGAGGCTTGATTCTGTCACTGACTTTGCAATAACAGCAACAGTTATGATAAAGGTTAACACTTACGGAATACTTTGTATGGGCAGACCATCTCCTATGGATATTCTTATTTACTCTAACTTGAGGTGCACCTGCCTCATTTTAAAGTTGTTGCTGACAGTCACAGTTGGTGCCATCAACATAATTCACATCCAGGTTTATCTGCTCCAAGAGCTCATCCTCTTCTTTACTCTGCTTCTGTTTTTCCCTTCCTGGATAGCTCCTTGGCCTTGGTATGCCTCCATTTCTTTTCCTACGAAATGGGGATAACCATTTCACAGAGAGCTACATTTATAGCTATTATAATGTACTACTAAATACACAATAGTGCTTTATTGCTGATGAAATTTGGCTCTGAGGGTGCCCAGATTGTGCTGAGGCTGCCCACTTCAGAGGTGGCTGAGATGACCAGCTGGAAAAGCAGTTCTATTAAGTTAGTATAAATAAATAGCAAGCTAGAAATCCTGCATTTTTTAAACCTACAGATCTGGGACTAAGTAGAAGGGGGAAGGAGTGTGGAACTGGCTGGAAGCTTGTCCTAGGTAAGGGGTAACCATTGGATTTATGGTGTCCATAGAGCACAGCAAATACCCAGCTTGATTTTATTCAGCATCAATCACAAGGTAGTCTTATCCTGTGGAGAATATGACCCTCTAGGTGTTTCTAGGCAGTGGTGCATTTGAGCAGGGTTAGTGCTGTGGTTCAAAAGACTATTCTTTTGTTTGTTTGTTTGTTTATTTATATTGAGAGAGAGAAAGAGAGCACGAGCTGGAGAAGGCCAGAGAAGGGAGAGAGAGAATCCCAAGCAGGCTCCCCACTGTCAGCACAGAGCCCAGTGTGGATCTCAAACTCCTGAACTGTGAGATTATGACCTGAGCCGAAATCAGCCGTCGGCCGCTTAACCTAACCGACTGAGCCACCCAGGCACCTCTCAAGAGACTATTCTTGAACAAGACCCAAGCACATGACTCGAGGCAGGGGTAGGCGTCCTGGCTGGGTCTGGAAAAGCTGAGGCCTAGAGCCCATTGTTCAGATGGGACAAGCTGAGGTTTTCCTCAAGTAACCAGATACTACTTTGCTGTTAATAATAATGACTGATAGCTGTCCTATCAGTTCTTTCTGGGGAGTGGGGTACTGTGTGGCAGGTACTCTTTATCTGTATTACCTGACTGAATCCTTAACAACAGTTCTGTGAGGCAGATACCATTTTGCCAGTTGGGAAATAAAGGTTTCAAGCAGGGTCAGCAACAATCACTGGCAGAGTTGGGCTTTGATTTCAGATCTGAAGCTTTGAACCATGTCGATGCACTGAAACATCACTGCTTTAGATCATCTCTGGTGAAGCTGAGCCCGAGGACATCTTGACTGCCTGGATCAAGGCGGCAGGGCTCACTGGGAGAGGGCAGTGGGTAGGACACCCTTCTTGAGCACTGGGCAGGGACAATTTGTTGTTCTCTTTCCAGTGGCTGATGGTAGAACTTTGTCCTCTGGGATCAGTGTGGTGACTCCAGAGCTCAGGACCCATCCACTGGTGGGCTTTCCCTGAGTGCCCTCATGTAGGTGGACTCAGCAGTCAAGCCTAGTGGTAAAGGTTGTGTTTCTCATACACCAGATCCTCTTTATGTGATGTTGGATGATTTACCTTGTGCCTCAGTGTCCCCATCTTTCAGTGGGATTGTGGTGAGGATATATGAGCTTAAATGTCCGTAAAGTGCTTAGCGTAGTGCCAGGCATGCTATCAAGTGTTCAATAATTGATAACTGCTATTATTAGCTATTAGCCAACAGCTAGCGAGTGCAGAGAGACTTTCAACTTTAAAACACTTGAAGTGCTGCCAGCCTGGGACACAGGGCTTGTGAGACTGAGCCTGGAGAAAGCTCCAGGAGCATAAGTGTTTTCCCAGGGAAAGAGATAGATACAAAAGAAGGGAGACCATTGAATAATTGGGGCTGGACTCCCCATCAGATCTGAAAATATTGTGCTCTGGCTTGAGATCACCAGTTGCCTCTATGCTCCTGTGGAATGGGGGCATTTCACAGACTGGAACCAGAATGGAAGAAAGGGATCTGACCTTCTGGCACTTGGTGATGGATCATCTGTTTACATTGATTTTTCCCTCCTTATCTGCTGGGCATGTTAAAAACCTTCAGGTTCTGCTGTGTCAGGTCATCAGAGATGCTCTTATGTGGAGGGCCGTTTGGGTAAATGGGATTAGGGCCTCTTTGGGAGGCCCATCTGTTCTGTCCCTACCTGAAGGCCTTGGCGCCAGGATTTGGAGGAAGCTGGTACAATGAAGCATCTGTCCCGTGGGGGTGGGGATGACGGTGAGTGGCCTAGGGTAGGTGGGTCAGATGGAGGCCAGGAAATCCTCTTATCCTGCCAGGTACCAGGGCCTCCCTCAGCAGCAGGAGCTGAGCAGCAAACCCTGGTGAGTCAGCATGGCTGGGAATTAGAGCTGCCAGTCTGTGAGCATGTGGGGTTTGTGTGAGTTTGGGCCTTTTGTTTCTTTTAGCACTGTAGTCTTTAGAAACACAAATCTGGAAACCAGACCCTCCACATGGTATAGTCGTGCTTGTTTTGAGATAATTCAGCTCCAGCAGTTGCTTTCCTTGTATGCTGGTCTTCCAATAATTTACCTTTTAAAATTTTAATAGTTGTTTTTATGGCTTATTTGCTATACTATTAAAACACAGAAAAACTTAAGAAAACTTACTTGGATCTGTCTTTTTCCACAGCAAAACCCTGTAGGGTTTCAATGGTTTTTTTTGAAGCCTAAGTGGAACTGCAAGTCTTTTGAGGGCATGTATGGGCATGTCTCTGTTAGTTTATTCTCTTTGAGGGTGGAGAATAGGACACACCCTGATAGAGTGAATCTCCAATAACTAGAAGAGTGATCCTGGTCATTGTTTTAAACTTATACACCCAGAATTTACCCATAGAATTGCTCCTGAAGATAACCCCAAATATATCTAGGCACTATTTGGAGGAGAGGAAAGTTGTTTAGGTAATGTTTAATAAGCTCCAACCTTCCACGAAAAGCACCCTTCTGCCCCCTTGCCAGTCTCCTAAGGGCTTTGAATTTGGGTCACGAAGGTCCGTGAACACTTCCTAGAGCTGAGCAGGCATGGGACTGACATGGATTTTGGTCCACTTTACGTACTCTACTTCTGGCTCCTGGTCTAAAGTTCTGTTAACATAACTTTGGTGGCTGCAATTATTATGGCAGGTGGTAGAATTGTACAGGTACTAAGTTGTGGCTGGATCTTCTTGTGGACTAGTTGAAGTTAAGAAGACACAGTTTGCAGAGAAATCACCTGACCTTTGGCCAGGAAATTTCTAGCAATTCTTTAAAAACACACAAAACACACTTTTAAATAACGTAAGTAACAAACTACCATGGAGAGTTTGTGATGTATCAGTGCACACTCTTTGTTAGCTAGCCATTATCCTACTATTTAGAGATTATATTGAGGTAAATCAGCTCTTCTTTTAAGGTGGAGACACTCTTTTGGAGGACTGCGCTTGCAGCCTTTCTAGGACCTTCGTATTTAATGTGGACTTGGCTCACACTCTACATACAGCCTCGCAGAGGACCTGAGTGGGGAGAGAAAGAAACTGGAAGACCAGGAACTTTGGCGTGGAGTACAGTCTTAGTGTTTGGCTCCTGTGGGTGGGCAGAGGAAGGGTGGAGAAAGGGCATTTCACCTACTGTGTGGGAGATTCCCAGAGAGGAATTTGAAGAGATCAGACAAATTTTACGTGGCTGGCTGGGACACTGTAGTCTTGACTCCACAAATCCTTTATTTCATCTTTAAGCCATTATGAAACTGTCTTAAATGTGGCTACCCTCTCTCCCTACTCATCCTACTTAAAAAGAAACTGAGGATTTTGACATTAGAAACTAGGAGATGAACTTTTTATTTTCCCCTTCTGGCTTAACCCAAGACCAAACAACTTTCTTAATGTGATGGCAAGTTGGCAAGACAGATTTCCTCTGGAATATTTCTGGCAGTCTTCCTTGATGCATTCTGCACATGAATCAACCTCTTTGTAACCTATGTTACCTTAAGAATTTTAGGAATTTTCCATATTGATTCTCCATATGTGCCCAGTGTGAAGGTACAGAGCTTATAGGGAGGTGGTGATGAACTCTGGGTCTTTACCCTGGCTGATGGTGGCTCACTGAAATAGAGTGGGGTCCCTGGGCACAGTCCGTGTATTCCTGTCTCCCTGCCCAGTGGTAACTGTTCTCTAATTTTCTTCTAGGTTGGCTGGCTCCTCTGGCTGATGGCATGTTGAGGCACATGGGCCAGTGGCAGCGAGGGCATCTGATCCAGAGGGGGCCACTCTAGAGGCCAGGCCACCAGCACCATGGGCCAGTGTGTCACCAAGTGCAAGAATCCCTCATCAACCCTGGGCAGCAAGAACGGAGACCGTGACCCCAGTAGTAAGTCACACAGCAGGCGGAGTGCAGGTCACCGTGAGGAACAGCCACCAGCCTGTGGCAAGCCAGGTGGGGATATCCTTGTCAATGGGACCAAGAAGGCAGAAGCTGTCACCGAACCCTGCCAGCTGCCAACGTCCTCTGGAGATGCTGGGAGGGAGCCCAAGTCCAATGCCGAGGAGTCTTCCCTGCAGAGGTTGGAAGAACTGTTCAGGCGTTACAAGGACGAGCGGGAGGATGCAATTTTGGAGGAAGGCATGGAGCGCTTTTGCAATGACTTATGTGTTGACCCCACGGAATTTCGAGTGCTGCTCTTGGCTTGGAAGTTCCAGGCTGCTACCATGTGCAAATTCACCAGGTTAGTCACAAATACTTCATGTCACCAGGTGAGCAGAGGAAGGAGAATACACTACTGGGCAGTGGCACCCAGCTGGGGTAGAACTGGGTTGGCTTCTTAGGGTTTTGGGAAGTCTTTTTCTGACTGATTTCTCTAAAGCATCTTAACCTCTGAATAACCAGCAACGATCGTCTTTGCCTAAAGCGAGGAATAATCCATGTGGAGCTTTGTGGCCAAGCCGCTGCCCACCCCCGCTGCCCACCCCCACTGCTGCTCCAGACCTGTATCTCTTCTTTCACTCCTTCACTTGTCGATTCTCTCACTTCCTCACTCACTTGATACTTACGTGCACCTCTCCTGTGCCAGGCGCTGTGAGTGCCACGCTGGGGAGCATCTTTGGTGTCTGCCTCTGTCACTGTGTGAAGCCATTTGCCCCTTCCAGCTCTGCGTACATGTCCCTCAGCCCCTAGCATGCACACCAAAAAGGACAGCGGGCCCCAGTGACCAAGTAGTAGTTGTGCACATCGCCATGATCATGCATCCCTCTAGAGTTTGTTTGTGGAGAGGGAGAGGCAGGGTCACCTCAAGGTGTGGTTTCCAGAGCACTGGGTTATAAATAACCCTCACCTCCACCCCCCAGTTTCTAGCCCCTGGGTAGATTACCTGACAGACTTTAGATGCCTTTTATCTTTAGCTGATACAGCAATCTCTTAGAAGATGATCAGCGAGAAACCTTGTTGGAACCTGAAAGTGTTAGCTGTTAAAAAAACATAGGCAATTTTTGTGGGGTTTTTTTAATGTTTATTTTTGAGAGAGAGTGTGTACGTGCATGAGCAGGGGAGGGGCAGAGAGAGAGACACACACGCACACGCACACTCCAAAGCAGGTTCCAGCACAGAGCCCGACATGGGGCTCAAACTCATGAACCATGAGATCATAACCTGAGCCGAAGTTGGACACTTAATTGACTGAGCCACCCAGGTGCCCCCAGTTTTCATTTTTTAGTAACAGAACTTTGATCTCTGGTGGCAGAGTTACCTAGGTTTATCCAGAACCTTTGGCTCCAAAAACCTCCCTTGGCAGTCACCAAAAATATTCTGAAAACAAACAACCCATAGAGAATCAAAAGGAAAGCAGGAAGACCTCCAGTCGGGGAGAGGAGTCTGCAGCTTACTCACTACTGCCAAATGGGAAATAGGGCATTGAGCGGGAGACTGGAGTTTCATCTTTGGAAAGATGAACAAGTGAGTGAACGAGCCACTATCAGCTGTCTACCATGTGCTAGGCACTGTTAGATGCAGTTGACACGCATTAACTTGTTTAGTCCTCACCCAGACCCTAGAAGTTAGGTGGTAATCTCACCATTTGACCGATGAAGAAATAGGACTAATTTAATTAGTGGAGGAGTTGGAATTCAAATCCAAGCCATCCAGCCTCAAAGCCATGCTCTCAATGACTATCCTATATTGCCTCTCAGCAGATGATACTGTTTACAATTATTAATTGTGCCCCTTCCTTCCTGTTGCAGGAAGGAGTTTTTTGATGGCTGCAAAGCAATAAGTGCAGACAGCATTGATGGGATCTGTGCACGGTTCCCTAGCCTCTTAACAGAAGCCAAACAAGAGGATAAATTCAAGGATCTCTACCGGTTTACATTTCAGTTTGGCCTGGACTCTGAAGAAGGACAGCGGTCACTGCATCGGGAAATAGCCATTGCTCTGTGGAAACTAGTCTTTACCCAGAACAATCCTCCAGTATTGGACCAATGGCTAAACTTCCTAACAGAGAACCCTTCGGGGATCAAGGGCATCTCTCGGGACACTTGGAACATGTTCCTTAACTTCACTCAGGTGATTGGCCCAGATCTCAGCAACTACAGTGAAGACGAGGCCTGGCCAAGTCTCTTCGATACCTTTGTGGAGTGGGAAATGGAACGAAGGAAAAGAGAAGGGGAAGGGAGAGGTGCATTCAGCTCAGGGCCCGAGGGCTTGTGTCCCGAGGAGCAGACTTAGTGGCTCTATCCCAGGAACAGGAGCAGCAGCAGCAGCAGCAGCAGCAGCAGCAGCAGCAGCAGCAGCAGCAAGGATCTGCCTGCTGCTCTGCAGCCAACCGAGGGATTGGACCTTTCTGGAAATTACTGAAGATCCAGATATTTTCTACTTTACACCTTTCTCTGCCTTGTATCTGAAAGGGCTCTAAAATGCTGTATCATGTTTTAGGCACTTTCTTCACTTTTTGGTTATTTTGGTTTATTTCTTTTTTTTGGGGGGGGGTCCCCCAAAATATTTGAACCTGGCTACATGTTGTGTATCTTTTTTTTTTTTTTTTTGAAGCCTTCAGATAGAATAAGCCTGCCATTTCTTGCACAAATTAGATTTTTTTTTGTGGGGGAGGGTATAAAGCAGGGAGGGGGGAAGGGGTGGTTAGGTTGAATTAACATTACAAGATGATACAGTGCCAGATCTCAGTTTTGCATATTCTGTTTTTCAGGGCAGGTCTGTACTGTGTGTAGTGCTGTTTACATGGTTGGATTTAGGTTAAAATAATTATTTTAAAAGATTTACACAGAATTGAATAGCAGTGTTAACTGTTAACCATATTGCATTAATTCCCAGGCAATTTAAAGCTCTTGGAGAGCCAAGGCCAGCCAAGAGCATTTGTAGTCTGGTGACAACCCCTGTTTAAGCTAATTTATCCGAAACCCTTTTCTTCTTGCTCATTCCTTCTTTGACCTATTTCATGTTGAGTTTATCCATCAACATGCTGCACCTGTCAGTCAAGTGAGCAGTTTTTTTAGACCACATTGTACTGAGAACCACTTAAGCATTGAATGCAGAGAAAGCAGTGCTACCTCAGTTTTGCTGGAAGTAGACTTTGATAGTTTCTTTTTTGATGACTTTTATGTATTTTCATGTTGTAGGTGAAAATACCCCCCCCCCCATTTGCCTTGGAGCCAAAGTTTCTGTTCCTGGTGGTCGGAAAACTGTGCCTGCCGGCCAACTGACTTGAAGGAAAACTGTGGTATGGAGCTCTGCTTGAATTTTTTTTTTTTTTTTTTTTGATTATCATCAGCTTACTTGTCTGGCAAGTGCAGAAGCCTGGGACTGGCCTGAACTCTGCCAAACAAATATAGAAGTGTATTTAATAGTTAAACGTGTGCCCTTTCCCTTCTTGCTGCACCCATGTTGTCACTTAATCCCCAGGAGTTATTTATTATCTTTTTTGTTAATGTCAGGCTCATTTGGGGTAATGTGATGACTGTTTAGGTTTACATGACCCTCCTCTCTTTTTCCCTACCCCCAAATATGTATATATACATATATAAGATATGTATATATTTTACCTATATAAAATATATATATACACATATATGTATCTATATTCCTTTATTTCTTTGCCTGCTAAAACTGGCCATAAAGAGGGAGCTGCCTTCAATATATAAAGCATAAGAAGAGTGCCAGGGAGTGTCATAAATGGAGGCTTTTGAATCTGAATTTGGACCATTTTCACTAAAGAGAAGATGAATTTTCTCAGCTCTTTACTCATACAAGGGAGGCCCAGTTCCCCAGACTCCTCCATGTGCTCGCTCCATAAGGCCAGCTTTGGCCAAACTGCCACACAGGAGCGGACTCTGGTCCTACCTGGTTTCAGTAGAGGGTCCTCTTGTTATTTTTCCATTTAAAAAAACATCCTCAAAAAACTGTACTGGAAGGGTGGGTGGCAGGAACTTGTACAGTTCAGCTTCCAACACTTTGGAACAGATTGAAAAGGGAATCTTTTGAATAAAACTTTTAAAATATTTATACTCTTGAGGTAATGAGAGTTTTTCTATTAAACATTTGGAGTTTTCTTCCCTGACTACTCCCATCTGCCTCCCAGGTAAATGTTTCTCAGCCTGGGCAGGATTTCCTTATTTTGAGTTCCTTTATTAGTAGCCTTATGGGTCCAGGCTCCCATCTTTCCAAAGAGGATTATTTCTGCAGTCGATGTTTTTCTAAGATTGACAATGACCTAGCAAATGTACTTGGGAGTTTTTTTGGTTTTGGTTTTTTTTTTTTTTTTTTTAAAGCCCCTAAACCTTATTGTTCTTCCTTCTAGAGGGCTAGAAGGGAAGCTTTAAAATCAGCCACAGCAAGTTAGCAATACTGCTAGAAATCTGAAGACGGTCTCAGGCCAGATGGCTGGCTTTTTTCTAGCCCAAGACAAGTTCCTTGAAAAGTTTCTAGCCCCCTCCCTACCCCACCCTCGTCAGGTTCTGTGGGCTCAACTGTAGTCAGGGTGCCCAGACTGAGGTCTTAAAAGGGGACTGCCTTCTCATCCAGCCAGCTTGCAACTTCTAGTTCTTCCTGATTCTGGACTGGGTCAAGATTGAAAAGGGGGAAAGGCAGGCTGCTTCTCCTCACCAGGTAAGGCTCTCTTAGATCACAAGGGTTTATGGATAGAAGTGCATATAAGAGGGAGACATTGAGGATCCTGAGGACTCTGGAGGAACTGGATTCATTCCCCAGCTTACAAGGTGGCATTCCATGCATTAGGTGTTCTAGACTGGGTGGATTTTGTAAATTAACTATTCAGCCTCCCCACCCCCCATAGAAGAGCCAGTAAAGAAATTATTCTCGATTATATTTTTAATATTACAGAAATGCAAATGAGAAATCAGAAAAGGGAGCAGTTAGGGAAGGACTTAAAGGTTCCTTCCAGGTTTGCTTCCTGATGCAAGAAATTCCAAACTTCCACAGTAGCTCTGGGCCAATGCTTGACCACAGGAAAAGCAGTTTTGCAAAGGGATCAAAGATGGGGTATATATAGTATTTGTAGTCAGATTTCTGGGAAATGAAAGATCTCTGGTCCTTTAACCTAGAAATAGGTTTTCTGTTTGAGTGAGCAGTAAATTGTGTGGAAGAGGCCAAATGCATGCCCCTCAGGTAAGCCAGTGCACTCTTCACTTTAACAATGTAACACCAGGGTGGTGTGAAGAGGGCAGGATGTGGATGCAATTTCGAAAATAGGCAAATATCTGAGGGCAACTACAACAAATTGAATATGTATAGGGAATTTCTTGGTTTTCGCAAATGGCTGAGTTTGTGGTGTTTAGCAATTAGAAGGCTGTATGAGATGAAGTGTTGCTTCATTGAAATGCTCTTCCCCCATCTCTGCCATATCTGAATGTATCATTGACCCCACCTATTGTAATGACTTCGCTGTGCTTCAGCTGGATGCCTCAGCAGTATTCCCTCATCTGTGCCAGATGTGCCCATGTGTTTGAGATGGGTCCCAGACACCAGGTCTACCCTTCTCATAAGGAAAATTAGAGCTAGGTAAAGATCCACATTTCAACCAAGCCCACAGGCCCAAAGAAATCCAACTGAAAATCCATAGGGCAGTGTTTTCGATACTAAAACTTCCCTAAGGAAGGCACAAACTAGCTTAGAAAGGAAGAAGGGATTAAGCCACAGAGTATTTAATCAGTCTCTGAAACAGTCCTGATTTCCCAAGAGGCTGATGCCAAATTCAGTCCTCAGTGCTGGAGCCTGCAGGGTGTGGAAAGAAGCTGCTGCTAGGTTTGTTTTGTTTTAGCTGCCTGCTTTGGCATATTTCTTGTGTCTCTAATGTTTGATTAGTGGTGACTTGAAAATCTTGGAAACTGACAAAGGTCTTCATTGGTGGACTCTAGCAGTATTGTGTTTAAACAGCTGAAAGGACTATTAAAAGTTATTACAGTGTGTTGAGACTCATTTGAGGATATGTCACAGTGATCCTCTACTTAGTCCATAATCTGTTTTTTGAATCCTGTAGAAGGGGTTCCCACTCACCCCCTTTCAGAAGTTTATTCCTATGGTTAGCTGTAATTATAGCATATATCCAGTTTAACCTGGACTGGGGGCCATGTTTTAGTGAGGATCTGCAGGTGTTTTTTTTACTGAAAGACAGGCTTGAGCACTGGTTGCAGAAGTCAAGATGATTCAAATAGCTTTTGAGTAATCATCACGTAATGCAGCATCCATCCTCCCTATTCCTCTTGGAAACTAAGCTTGCTTTTATAGATCCCTTCTTCCACCATGCACCTTCCCTCCTTTCAGTATAATCTTGGATATTGCCAAAGGAAGCCATTCAACAGAAGCCCCCTCATTCCCATTTATTCTGGGAGAAGTGTCTTCCCTGATTCCGGTCCCCAACCCCGAATCTGTAATTAACTCCTCTTACCTGTTGCACTAATGAATATGACTCTAGGTTTCAAAGGGGGAATTTGAAGCAATAGGCAAATGGGGCTTGGATGAATTGGTCCTACAGATACCCTGCCTTAACCCACTGAGGTGATGAGTCCACTACTCATGTGACCCTCCACCTTTGTGGATTCCTCTTGGTTTGTGACCAGTGTGTCTGTTTCTTGAGGTTGTACAAACTTGTTGACAAAGATCAATACTTTTGTTTGTATTCTCTGCACTGTTGCACTCTCCAAATGGCCCCTTGAATATTTTTAACTTGTTACACAATTTTTGGTCTTTGTCTACATTTTTCTTTTGATGTTTTTTTAATTTGAAAGGTTACCTGCTGTTGGATTTAATAAATTTGTTTACTTGACTATTGACAGTTGTGAGAGAGAGAAAAGAAAAAAAAAAAACAACACAAACCAATGACTTAATTCTGGGGCAAGATTTACCCAACGGGAGGCTCTTCCACCATGATATTGGATAGAAGTTCCTATGCTTTGGAAAATAATCCAGATGGTACAGGATCCTCAGACTTCAAACATGGATGACTTCCCACTCACAAACTTAATGGCCTTTGGGGTCGTTAATACTTGTAGACAAAAAGCAAATACGGCCTCACAGGGCCACTACCTAAATAGTCTTAATATAGCAACTGTTGTGGATTCCCATGAGGAACAAAAAGTGAATTTGAGCACTGTGCTAATGGATGGCTCCTACATCAGGTTGACAGTGATTAAGGCAAAGGAGACAAGCTGCAACTGTCAAGTGCCACTGCTGTGTGACCTTTGGCAAGTTAGTGAAATTCTGAGTTTCCTTATACTCATCTGTAAACTCAAGAGACTGTTATTTCTACCAGAGTGTTAGGATTTAAAAGAGTCTTTATAAAAAGCACCTAAGTCATGTAAGTTTAAGATTTCCAAAAGGATGTCAGGTGAGTAATGCAAGGAATCCAGAGGAGAGGAGATGGGGGGTTGGCATGATCACGTGAACATGACCTTTCACAAGTCACTACCCCTCCTGGGGCTCAACTTCCCTCTGTGCCAAATTGGGGGATGGGGGGATGGGAGTGCTTAGACTAACATGATCCCTGATGGCTCTATTTGGCTCGTACATCCTAGGAGTCTGATTATGGTAGACCAGTTATGACCCTTAGCTTCCTTTCATTGTATTTTCTGTCTTGTTATTGTTTATATTCAGGAAAGCTATTGGCCAGCCATTTTACTTCTTTGATGGAGGCCCTAATAACCCTCCCAAAGATTTCCAGCCTCATGTTGGTATCTCCTAAAAATAAGTAAGTACAGTGTGGTGGGATTAGATGTGCTTTTATTTTTCTTTTCAGTTGGAAAGGATTTGGGAGTCATGGATACATCCTCTAGCTAGGGAGAGATTTAAAAGGTTTCTTCAATGAACTGGATTTTTTTTTATCTTCCCTTACTCTTATTACTAAGGTTAGCATGAGATGGAGGTTGGAAGGAAATCTAGGGGAGGGGTAGTGACTTCTTTCTCCCTCACTTAAAAAAAGTAGATATCCAAAACATGTACTTATTCCCCATTTGGCTCTTGGGCTTGTGTCTGCTGTGCTTTGCCTTTCTGAGGTATTGAGCCCAGCCAGGGCTTTAACAAATAGAGGTGTGGAGAATTACAAAGTAAAAGATACTGATTTCGGTGCTTGTATAGAGCCTAGAGCTATTCAAAAGTGTTATGGTGCTATACAGCTGTACAGATAATCTATGGCTAAAATCCAACTTGTTTTTTGATGAGGTGCAAGCAACTTCTTCACACCAGAGACGAGCTTAACTCTACATGTAGAATGGACAGTTTCTAACAAGAGAGATCCAACAGAAGGTAGTGCTAAGGGTTCAGAGACGTACAGAAGAGTCATCTTAGCACTGGCCTTTTCTCTCTCCTCAAATCCATTTGCCAAAAACACATGGCTGGCTCTAGAAGTTCTGTCTTAGCTCTGGGTTTCAATCTAGGCTCAAAAGGGTTAGTCTGCCTGGGAAAGAAAGGTAAGGGAGGCAGCCCAACCTCTCCCATTTCCTTTCCTTTGCTGTGATTTCACAGGAGACCCCGTCTTATGAAAGCCATAAGGCTCTTATCTAGGCTTAATATTCTTCCTATGTAATGTTCCAACCTTAAGTCTCTTGTCTTAGGGGGTGCTGAAATAGTCCTAGTGGAGTCAACAGCAAACCATCTGATTGTAGTGTTTTGTAATCCATGTTGATAGAAACTCTCCATGGCCCTGTGTTTATCTGGGGGAGGGGGTACTGCTGAAATTGCTACTGTATCATAATATAGAGCTACAAAATGGTATGGCACCTAGTGTAAGAAAAGACCAGAAAACAGTGACACAGGCTCTTGCATACATGGCCTTATATAGTAAAGGATACATCCTCCGTTGATTGGGTAAGTAAAGATAGATAAATGGGTAAAATCTAAATACCAGGGGAGAAGTTGTCATATGCCAAAACAGGAGGAATAAAGGTAAAAGTGTAAAAATTAAAAATACACACACACACACACACACACTTGTCAGTGGCTACTGATCTCTGAATCAGTCAAGACTTTCTAAGTACAAGAGCAAATAGAAGAAATCATTAAAGATTTCTAAAACTATCTTAAAATAGAAACATTTTTACAATAAGACCAGTGGGACACTGTACTTAATCCATAAGGAGATCTTAAAGAAAAATAGCTGGCCAAAAAGCTTCTGAAAAAAATAGATGTGAATCTATAGGATATCCAAATAAGTAGAAATTAAAGCTATAATGAAAAGCTTTTTTTAACCTTTCAAATTGGCAAAGATTTGAAACAAATCAATGTTAGTAAACACAAGTTAAAAGCTTATATGGAATTAAAAAAAAAAACCTTAAGTGTTCATACTCTTTAACCCAATAATTTCACTTCTAGGAATGTTTCCTCAATAAATAGTATCTGTCAGAGATGTTGTGGAAGGATATAATTGGTAGCATCAGTTGTAACAACTTCAGTGTCAATAGGGGGCGGTTTTAGAAATTATGGCACATATCAATATGTTGGAATATTATGCAGCTATTAAAATCTCTGCTTTTGAATAATGGAAAAGTATGATAGAAAGACTAAAAATAGTGGTGGGAATAGATGCGACTCTAACTTCTGGATTTTCCAAGTTGCCACTTGTTGTTGTCTTTATAATAGGGAAGAGGTTATTTACAAAAAGGACAACAAAAGGAAATGAAAATGAATGTGGCTGAGTGTCCTGGATAATTCTACTATGGGTGAGGTGGTCAGAAATTTGGGAGTAATATGTTCAAAGCCTAAACCAAGTGCTGTAAGAACTCTTGGGAGCTGCTTTTTTCCCCCACAAATGAGAAGCTGCTTCTCCAGCAGCTGCCTTGGCAGCTCTGCATTGGCTGCCTAGAAGTTTGGGAGGAAAAATGCACAAATGCACTTATGAATGGAATGTGTGTTTTGCAAGAGGCCAAGTTGGCAGCTTTCACTTCTAAAAGGTGGAAGCATCAGCTGAAAGAACAGAGTGTGCAGACTTGAGGCCTCAGAGACTCAGGTCTGGGCCCATCTCTGCAGAGTTGTGGAGTTGGGGGCCCATTGGGAAACCGCCCATCCAGAAGAAGGAAATTGGCTTTGGCTATTCCTAGGAGCAATGGCAGTGCCCTTGGCACATGGAGCCTAGTCTGTCTGTTCTGTGATCCTGCACTTGGAAAATGTTTCTCAGTAAAATGTCATTTATTGAATGTGGGTTTTCCCTAATTTAATCCTCATAACAACCTTCTGATGTTAGGTACTAATGTCCCCATTTTAAAGGTGAAGTAACTGAGTTCAGAGAGGGAAAGTCCTATAGAGCCCACTATTCTGTCATTTTCCACACGCTGGATCTTTGACTTTTCACAATAATCCTTAAAAAGATATGTCCTCATTTTATAAGCTGTGGGAATTCTACTCAGATGAGATTTAAGTTGCTTGCCCAGAAGCAGAGGTCTGTCCATATCCAAAGGCAGACACTTATTTTGTCTCAGGACTGGAGTCTCAAAAAGTAAACAGCAGCTAAGCTCCTATAGCTTTGGAGCTCAGCTGGAGGTAGAGAAAGAATTCAGCAGCACTGTCAGTTTCAAGATGGTCTCAGGGCCTCCCTGTACACCTGGGGAGTTTTCCTTTTTATAAGAGATCTTTAAGTGTTGTCTCTCCATCCTAAATCAAGCTCTTCAGTTCTGGCTCCTGGTTCCCAACTTCTACAGAGGGCCAGTTAAAAGGACTGAACACTGCCTTATATGCCCAACCTTGAGAGCTAATTTAAGTTCCTAGTTAAAAAAGTATTATATGGTGACTTAAAACCAAACACAAAAGCAGTTGGTAAACCTAATCTTCCAATCCCACTAGTAAGAGAAAAATACTGTTCACATTTGACATACAGTCTTCCAGGTTTTGTTCCAAACCTATGCATATCTTGGTGTATCTTTTTCTATAAACTACACATACTACTCTATAACCCTCTGTATTTCCTACAACATATACTAGGGATGCGTAATCACATCTTCACAACAATCCCATGAGACAGGTATGTACTGTTATTGTCCCAAACACAGAAATATTATTCAAGTTCACACAATATGTAAGAAAGCTAGGATTCAGAGTCAGTCTGTATCCAGAGGTCCACTTCCACTTAATAGCTACCAAGAATTCCTCTGTGCTCACCCTGTGATATCTTCTCCATACAAGTTTGTGTGAAACTATCCTATTATCATCGGATACTACTACAGAAGTGGACTTGTTGGGTCCCAGTGTATGGAACAATTTATTTATAAGGGTTTTGGTATGATACATACTGTATACTGGATTAGTTCATCTTTTCTAGAGGACAGCTAAATAGCTCTGTTTTGGAATTGTGTGTGCCTGTACCCATATCCTTTCCAACACAGAGCTTTAATATTTTGAGAGATGATAAGAAGAGCAGTAGCTTTTACTGAAATTGAAGCTTTCAGTTCTAAGAGGAAGATCTGGTATGATGGGGCCACCTATTGGTGAAGGGTGACACTGCAGTCTCACTGAAGGGAAGGAAGCATTCCTAAAAATGGAATTGGAAGGGCACTTCCAGTGTTGGTAAAAAGCTTAGTCTTCCACTCTCCTGTGTTTGGGGGGTCTGCCAGATTTTCAGTTCAGTCTCTTTCCCCTTCAGTTTTTTAACAGCTGTCAATAAGAAAAGTGTCCCTTCTAGAAATTTGCTTCATAGATACTACAACTTTGACACCCTGCATAATGGCTGCATTTTCTCCACTGGGAAGTCCTTTTTCCCCAGTTTCCTTACCTATATATTACCATTTAATAGGAGTGCTACATAGAATGAGTACATACTACAATTTCCTGTGTATAAACCCACTGAC